CAATGAATGGCTTGATCTGTTCGCTTTGTGTATGCGTGACCTGTCCGTGGTTACCTAGACGTCGTCTCTGTAAAGATATATATAGCATTTACTACGATTGTGCTTCCTGGGGACAATGTAATCGTGCGTCTGTCTTAGTAGTGTGGTCAGGTAGTCGGTGGGTTGGCACATTTTGCTTGTGTGTTTGTATATATGCAGGTACCGAAGGCGACTGCGGCGCACCACGTGCCGCCCCAAATAGACTATCCGCACCAAGCGATCGATACGTGGTGGGTCTGTGGCAGGTCGGCTAAAATCGGAATTCGCGTTTCATTTTCTTTGCACGTCGTTTCACGGGCAAGATCGGCCTACCGCGCTTGCTTGTGGGGCAGTCGGAAAAGAGTGCCTGTTGTCCCTTCCGCTCGCCGCCGCACACACACACACAGTGGCGAGATTCATACCACAGTTCCTTTTCTCACAGTTTTCTATTCACTTAGTCTGGTTAAAAGAAAAGATGTGTGTGGGGGCATACAGTGTTTTTAAAGGTGCTATGTGCGCATTCTCGTAACGTTGAATAATTCTTTTTTTAAATTGTTAGTCGCCTTACACCGTCGTTCATGGTGGTCAGATATGATGATGCGAGCAAGCATAAAGCGTTCCGGACTTGACTCTCTAAGCTACTTGCATAATCTGTCTCAGTTGCTGTTTCCGTTGCAAAATCTGTGTGGATTATATTTAGACTTTAAAAGTTCAGCTGGCATACTTCTTCATGTCCCCTTAGTGGTCATAACTCTCCCGGAAAAAAATGGATGTTCTTGGTGTTTTTTGCTAGGAACCTTATTGTTACCAACACCGTCATCATCATCATCAGTTTCTTGTATATGTTCCTCCCTCGAGTGACGGTTTTTTCCCATCCCGAACGCATCGTGGTTCTATCCGGCTCTTTTTGTTGTTGTTGTTCATCGGTATCCGGTGCTCAGAACCGATTCAGCACCACTGCCAGAGTAGTCTCGCGTTATGACTAGAAATGTCGCGGTTCCCATCTGGGTGTACGATCTCGATCGGGACACGGTCACGATGCTCATCACCCCATTGTAATATCCGTTCTTTCATGACTGTTACATGTGTTCTCCCCACCTAATGGATCGATCACACCGTGTCAGCAGCAGCATTATTTAGTACTCCTGGGGCTTGTGGATTTTGCTTAACCCAGTACTCTCCAACCTGTTTTGAAGTTGTATTATAATGCCATGGTTGTGACTCTTGGATTTACAAACCAACCCTCTCCCTCTGACACTGTCGAACTGGCCACTCCGTTCTCGCTCCATCCACTCATATCAATGATCGCCTGTTGATCCTCTGAAACATGCACCGCATATCCATTAACTACGGTGAAAATCGGTCGAATAAACAGGCTGGGTTGTGTGTGTGTGTGCGCGCGTGTGTGTATTTACCATAGTCGTGATGATTATGACGACCGTGACGATAATGGCGCCGTTCTAAAAGCGGCTGATAAGCGTACGGTAAAAATTGCTCTCGCTCGCTGGCTAGCTAGCTCGTGCTGCTAGCAGACCTGCCCGCACTCAGCCACTGTGTATCTGTGTGATGCATGATCAGAGTGGTAGACGATAGTTTGACCTTTCTTTGAATCTGTGAGATTTTGTTCCCCAAAATAATCACAATGCGAAGCGATAGAATTATTTTCGGTCTGTTTGTGAATGAGAGTGCGGACGTCAGGGATGTGGGGGGAGGGGGACAACCTGCGTCGTGTGAGATGTGTTCACTGTGACCACTAAACGATCCGGTTTCCGCAACACAAAGGACCCGTGCACCGATTTGTTTTGACAGCGCGGGCGCGCGCCTATTTATGTGTGCTTTCAGTTGACCATTATATGAGGTCAAATTTGTCTGTGTGAGAGAAAGAAGAACACACCTGAATGAAGTACATTCTGTTTTCTTTTCCTTCGATGGTTACCGTTTCATCTTTTCACTGTCCGATCTAATTTACTTCACAGTTCCTCGCTGCTCCTCGTAAGTTGCAACGCGTTCCATAGAGAAAGCGTAGTTTGTCCATTCATGGAAGTGCTTTATAGAACACTTTACGTGTCACGTACAGGTTACGAGCCATCGTTTCTGTTCGTTCCTATTTAGAATCTCCTCGAGTGCACTATCACTCGATACCCTACTCTACATTACGAGGCTGGTCACTTCAATAACCACTAAAAGGGCTTCCTCTGCGATCTGTGCTGCCGCAACTTGTGGTGGTGATAAAAGAATCGATTGCATTTACTCCGGGATGCTTCTCAATCCTCCCAGTAAATCGTTTTTACTTTTTCACTTGATCCCACCAATATAAGACTGCGAAGTAGATGGATAGGATTAGTCTCCGTATCATGCATATCATAAATGAGAGAATCCTGGGGTAATTCAGTAACAAAACTTATCCTATACCTCACTACTCTAATGTCTGTTGCTACTGCGTAAACCCGGATCACTCGATCGGGGGTGGGGTGGGGGGAGGAGTTTGAGATAGCTGACACTGTTAAAACACGAGAGTCAACAGAATTCGTGAGGTCAGTCTGGTTTACTGTGAGTANTTCAACAGTCCCAGTTCAATTTGACGCATACTATTTTCAGTTAGCACAATCCGCAACAAACACGGATTTCGGGTTTATCCGACATCTTCAGTGTTGTATGGCCTAATATCACTGATGTGCTTTGGTATCATGTAGCTCGTCATTCGGTTCCCGCAAATTATTCTTCGTTTATATGTTTGGTCACAATTATCACTACTCACTTAGTCCATGCTTACACATATAGCTCAGAATTTATGATCAGGGTAGTTCAAGAAACCTAAGTTGAAGTTCCCTTGTCCTTCAAATACAGTCGCAATACTTAGACAAACATTGCCTTTGTTGGTTGCCAATCTGTTCCGAATCTAAGTAAAACAGCCTTGATTTCAAACCAACCCAGAACAGGTGTACGAATCACACCCACACCTTCCCGGTTCTGGGCATTGAGGTGTATTGGGCACAGTCCTCCGGCGCCCAATGAATTTGGAGTTTTTACACGTCGCGCCGCTGCGCTGCGGGTTAGGCTTCAGCTAACTCAACGCTCCAGGAAAGTTAGATCTACTTGAACCCGGTCAGCCTGGCAGTATTCCGCCCATGGGCGATTCATAGATCCATTTTTTTGTTATAAAGATTATTGTATCGTGATGTGTTTGGCACACAATATGGATTCAGACATATGTAGTAATATATACAGAATGGAATTCATGTCTGTGTGAACCTAATAATTGCGCCTGTGATGCAACTACTATCACTGTCACTCATTTACCCTCTCTGCGGAAGCTAAGACTTTGGTTGCTTCAAGATCGCACAGTGATTGTAATCATGCAGTTAAAGTTGTTATCGTGGTCCTGTTCTGGACTTTAAGGTTCCCGGCTTGAGCCCAATAACCGCTGGTTTTGGTAATGCGCACAGCTTGCTCAATAGCACATCTACTCAATCGGGGACTTTGTGTATATGGTTCATCACGCCTAGTTTGAATTACCGGGTTCATTCTGCCGGTGTGTGTGTGTGTGTGTGTGTGTGTGTGCAAAGAATAGAAATGAACACAGTTCATAGACTGATACCTATGAACTGAAACGTATCATCAACGGAAAACATGTGAATCTTCCTTTTTTATACTTTCCGTACTATTTATTGATTAAACACATTCACTACTAGCTTTTCCGTACGTGTGTGTGTGGTCTCATTCAAACTTTACAAATCGGCTCAGATGGTTACACTCGGCACGAGAGCGCGACTAGCTGAAGATAGAATGTGATTGTTGCTTGCACTGTTTGTCTCACATCTTTCCAAATGTGCCGATATTTTCTCTCTCTATCAATAACCTGGTTAGAAGTCACCAATCCAATACACGCACAAACAATGCACATGTGTACCCTAGCTACTAGGGTTTTTGTCAGATATCCCGACCGACCGATACCATACAGATCCGCTAGAGTTGAATAATACCATGACAGCCCCACCAGGTGCGCGCATCTGATGTTTTGTAATCCTTGTGGCTTGAATTGTGCATACTTGTTCGCCAAGGCATGCATGCGTACATCGGTGTGTTACAATAATGATGATAATAACAACACGAACGGATCGTTATCATGACTGTGTGTGTGTGTGTGTGTGTGTGCATGTATGTGTAATATGTGTATAACACACACACCCGCCCTGTTTGGACAAGCTGCTATCCGACTCCGCTTTCTTTCAAGCGAGGAAGCAGTCTCGGACCTGTCACAAATCAGAAAAACCTACCTACCACATTGGGCCCCCGGGTGTGTGTGTTCGAACTGAGTGAATCTGCGCTCACATTGTTGCTCAGTCGATCCGGTCTGGTTGGTGCTCGTTAGTCGGGGCATGATTTGGGAGTCAGAGAGAAAGAGAGAGAGAGAGTCACACAGTTTAGACACATGCACTCTGTGGCTCTACTATGCCATCCAGCCAGTTGGATAACACCCACCTCCAACCTGTATACGTCAATCATGGGTGGGGCGCACTGGTTAAAATGCACAACAGCTGTTCACAGACAACATGCACAGTATAATGCACAGCTAACAACTACACCTGGTGGTGGTCCATGTCCATTTGATGGATAGGTATGCGTTTTTTGTTGTTGTTAAAAACTTCAACTATTCGACAATCTTGTGCATAAAACAACAAGTTGTACAACCCCGATTTATTTAATTTAACCCTGCAATTATCTCATCAGTTCCGCTCGTACCAAATTTCAAGAACAGTTTGTTGAAAATTCTGCTTACCCATGCTCCATTTTTGTAGGTTTTTTGAAAATGTTTCTTCATAGTAGTAGTAAAACNTAACTCACGATTATTGTTAGTCGGTTTTTGGCCAATGATTCCCCCCCCCCTACCGTCCTCGGTTTGCATACAGTATCCGTTTTGATAAAACAAAGCTACATGGTGATTGGATAACCAACGTTTCTTCCTTCTCTTTCTTCTCCAGAGAGTGATCGACTCATCTCAGAATGGACGTACTTAGCCCAAGCTCTGAAACGCGTCAGCTCTCAGACTGCATACACAGATCAACACTATTTCGGTCCGGACGCACGACGCACCCGAATGATGCTGCGCATGAATGGGGCACGTGTCGTACCATCCGGTCCGATTCTCGATTCGTCCGATCCTTTGTCACCCGGTTTTGGAGCAACCAACGGTATTCCCGGTCCACACCAGCCATCCACTTCGGGGCCTTTTGCAAACAGTCTGCCGGGGCGAGAATTTATGGGCACAATGGAAACCATTTTGCAGAGCGCCACGGGATCCGCCACCCCAGAGCCTTATCCGCCTGTGCACGATCGTGTAACAGGTGATGAGGATGAATCCACCTCGGCTTCGTCCCAGTCCAGTACATCGGATCCTCAACTACTCACACCTCAGGCCCTTTTGGACCACATGGAATTTCTGATCAAAGTTCGTCGACTTCAGATCACCGTGGGGTCCGCTAAATGGTCATTTAAAGATTTGTGCCAACGAGCCAGTCTACCATTCGGCTCTGAGGTACATCCAATTCAGGCTTATTTGGATATGATCATTCCTTGTCTAATTATCACGCCATTGGATTGTTTTTGGGAGGGCGCGAAAGTTCTCGGCCCGGAAGAAGCGACTTGGGTACCTTGGTGAGTTTATCAATCTTGATTCGTGTCACGTTCTCATGGACTCAGTGTTTTTTCCTTTAAATGTGACTCTCAGTTTGGTCCAAGTTGTGCGAAAATTGAATCAAGGAGTTGTTAGATTTCGCTTCTAATGCCTCATCAGGTTGTCCTTTTTATGTTCCCGCACTGGTCGTGGTGAGCATTGACCTTAGCCGTTCTTTTTTTACACTTTTCGGTTTGCTGTATGCATGAATTTCAAGCACATCCCAATGTACAATTCGGTTGTTTGTGAATGAAAAAACTTGTTCAGACAATTTAATATCGATGACAGATAAAGGGGTGTAGTCTTCTTGCTTTTGTTTTAGCCATTGGATTATCGTAATACAGCCATATCTTCTTTGTCAGATTAATGGAACCGGGATTAGTGCACTTTGTTCCAATTCGTTTCGAATTCTCGTTCCACCTGGTGCGATAGATTAGTTACACATTTACCTGAAGGGGCTGGGGGTGAGTTTCTGCGTGGATCACATCTTTGTCCTCTATCGGTTCTTTGATTGGTTTTCACCTGTCGCATCTTGATTGTAATCAACGTAAGACAGTCGAATGTCATAACAACATTTCAGTCCATGCGTACGGGGTTTGTGAAAGACTTAACGGCAATACATGAGCATCTTGATCGTAGCTCTCAGTATAATATTTAACAAGATACATTTCTTAGGTCGTGTAGCCTAGTGCTCCAGATGACTCTTTTTTTACATCTACTCCCCACGTCACTCTTTCTGCTGCTTTCTCAGTTCTCATTCTGTATCTAGTTTATCACCCGGTTAAAATGCGTTTGAAGAGGCACAAATCTACCTGCTATGCGGCGCATATAATTGATCACGTGATCTATAAAATGTGAACAAAATCACATTCCCATAGGGAAAACGTGGAATGGTTCACGGGGTCCCCCTTTGTGTACTTAATTATTTTGGTTTATCAAATAAGGTACCGAAAGGTAAACCAACACCGGTGTCCTGACTGGATCAATCAACTACTTTGTGTGCGTGTGTGTGTGTAGTGTTCAAACCCAATACAGACGCATCGCACCCGATGTTGTCTTTTTTTCTCAGCTCCGCCCCCCCCCCACCCGATCGGTAGTAGAACAGCATAGTTAGCCGATCCTCGAATAAATAACTCTATAGTCGCTTCACAATGCATCATCATCGTCATATTCAGTTTGTGTTTCGCCTTGCCAACACGCGCGTGCGCACACACATGATAATGAGTATTACATAAACGGTATGTGTACAGTTTTCACCACTACCACGTACATGCACTACTACTTATGCGCACGTTCAGCTGGGGGTAGTTGTCAGATCGAACGGAATCGGACACTCGCCCCGGTAAACGACCACCCAATCACTCAAAGTCTGGGGGATTTGCTAACCGCAACTATGGCGTTGGTCCCAGCGACACTTCGATGGAGCTGGTGGGAATGAGCCACAGCGAGATAAAGAAAAAAGTGATCTATAAATTGGGGTGCTACATCATGCCTGTGTTTCATAAAGCGACCAATTGTCCACAGTCGCTCTCTCGCTCACACACACAGTGAGTGAGAGTGAGCGAGAGAGAAATAGACAGATCATGGTCCCTTGTGTACCTCATTGTTACATGATGAATAGCCGCACACGCACATTTATGTCTCTCTGTTTCTCTACAAACAATTGAGCAAGCGATCGAGCATGCGAAAGGAAAGCCGCTTTTATCGAGCATTATTCCCACCCAACTACATGGAGCGAATCTCGGCACACGGGCACTCTCGATCCTCAGCGCAACCGGCGAAATTGGTGTGTGTGTGATGAGAGACCTGTTCAATATCCTCCCGTCCCCATCGATCTTATTGACAATGATCACGATCACGCATATTTGTGCGATTGAGGGAGATGTTCATGATGATCGATTTGATACCGCGGTACACGCCATACGCACTCGGGCTTTTTTCCCTCTTCTTAGACCAGCCACGGGTGTCCTCAATCTGGATGACAATACAAGCCTCCCAGGCAGTGGAGAGAGAAAGTAAAACACTGTAACCCACCACACTTTGCACACAATCCGGTGTATCTTGAAATCCACACGAGTAACATATTATCATGTGCTTGCGACACTCGCTTGCCGGAGTACTGAGTAGACTATAGTAAGCGACGGGTATATGATAGTAAGCACTTGATAACGGATCATCATCATTGTAGAGTACAATACCGTGAACCGAATTACACTGATCGCTGCCAAACTCATGATGCATACAAGGTAAGTGAGAATGTGTAAGGAGGATAGGGATTCGACTTAATTCTAGGGCCGGGAAAAGAAAGCGAACCTCTATGGTCAACACACAGACTACTCAGGCCAGCTCTACATACATACCGCTTCAAGCATTCTGGTCTGATAAGAAGTGACAACATGATCGCCATTGCTGTCGGTTAGCAGCCCTGACCTTCAGTGTCTCCAACCATGCGGTTTCGGAGTCTTTTGAACCCTATCGCGGAAGACGAGAGACACCTACTCTACCAATCGCTCTGTGCATTTTTTCGTGCCTCGTCTCTCTACGTCATCTGCTGGCCTTCACGTAGTTTTTCCAGTCTGCAACAGCTAATGCGAATAAGGTGTGCTGCGGTAGGCTACCGTCGGACATACACAAAACGTTTCCTAGCAAGTTGTTGTTCGATGCATTCCCAAACACCCGAAAACTTACTTCTAAGTTACTAACTCGCTCACTCTATTCCACTTGGATCAAACTACGTTAGCGTCGATTGTTGAAAACCACCAAGCGACTTATGTCTTCTGCCCGCAAGTCTCACAACCGTAAAGCAGAACTGATCGTACAGTCGCACAGTGATACAACTGTGGCATTCTCTCACTTTTACTTACCTTACGCAGCAGATAGTTGATTTTCCAACCTGTGATGTCCTGTGCCGAGTTTTACACAAAATCTTGAGCTACCGCAATCAGGAACGCAGCAATTTGGGATTATGGGTTGAATGCTCAATAACAAACACTGAGGACATGTTTCATTGTCCGCGTTGTTGTCATACCGCATCAAACAGTGATGCAACTTCTCTCTCTGGTACAATGATCTCGTATCACACAACCCCATCCTGCTTCCTGGTGAGATCAACCCCGTTGAAATGGGGGTACCTACTCTACTTACTCCTTCCAATTGGCCACATGGATCGTGTGCATGTCTCTATCTCTGGATTGACACATTTGTTTGTCTATCTGCTTAATTGTGCAATGGACTTGTCGTCTGCCGTCATATCCGTACGCCTCATTCCCTCGTATCATGCCCCCGGTACACAAGTCTCAATCAGAGCGAATCATCCTTAGTGTCAACCACTGAAGCTGACAGTGTCCAAACCATCGAAGTTCACCTTCCACCTGATCGACATGATCAGGCGTTTGCTCTTTTTATGATACAACCGGTGCTCATGCCCACACCATCATCCAACTGACGCTCACGAAACACGATTGAAGTAGCTTTTATCCATCTTGGAACAAACATGCAATTTTACTTACTGTATTTATGAATGTGAATGGTGCTTCACGTGTTACTGTAACGATTCTCGTATACCATATCTCATCTATTCCCACAGTCCGTGTGTGTGTGTATTGTGAGAGGTTCGGATAACTACCGGCATCGTAACCTTTTAGTTTGTACAACCAATAAGCATGCACTTTCGTGCGGCGGTTTTGGTTGTCCATATTAGAAAGAGTGGAAAGTTGAAAGTATGGTCGAACAGAAAATGGAGAATTTCAGTGATCTAAGGTTGCAAAGAAATCGAAAAGATGCACGAACGCCACTGTTTAGGACACCCAGCCATATCACTCAGTGTCTCTAACCGTCGGTTACGATCATCCCGAGGTCCCCAGCCCGGGAGCCTAACAGGCCCACTCCCGTGGTTAGGGATTTAATACCCGTGCCAGGTCTTAGCTTGACCACCCTTGGCTTTTTTGCACCCGTAATGGTCAAGTCTCTGCACCGTATAGCAGAACTGGCCGAACTCGACCCTTGACAGACAGCCGGAGGTTGCGACGATGCCATAGATGTCTCAAGTTGGCAAATGCCAACCGAGCCGTCTGTATGCGGGCTGACACTTCATCCGTGATACGTCCACCGAATGAGACGTAGCTGTCCAAATAACAAGACTTATCAATTTGCTGTATTACTTCCCCAGTTAGAGTAAGGCTGGGTGCCGGACCAACCCAGTCTTGTAGTAACATTTTACACTGCAAAATACATACCGAACATGGTTACCCTAGCACTCAAACCATCTAGAAAGGCCTACAACTTACCTGCATCTTCGTTTAACAGCACTGAATACTCCAGATCAGACAGCCTGCCATCTGGAAGTAAATCGATACCGCTATTCTCGCACGAGGATTGGCACTCATTTGAAAAACCATCGTAAACTTTCGTTGTCTCTGACTGGTGAGAATTTTTCCCAGTGACAACGCTGCTGTCTCCAAATTATGTAGCACCATAGTGTGTGTCATTATGATCTGTTGTTGTTGTCTGCGCCAATTCCACCCGGGTCCACAACCATACCAACAAACGAGATGACGCCCCAAAGCGCTTTGCACACGCGGATTCGCTGAAATTGGTTTCCTATGCCTGCCGAGCCTATCCCTGATTGTTTTGGAGGCATTAATGAACATTGCGATAAACCGGGAACATTGGCGTTCTTTTTTGCCATCTCTTATGAGGCCAAAATTCGTGTATGCACAACTGGACAGTATTCTTTTTTTCTTTTATTGAATACACCATGATGTCATTTCCAGAAAGGAAGAAACGGAAAATCGAAAAGTCAGGCGGCCGCCCGCCGGTNCCCGCCGGTAAGATTTCACCACTCGTCCTCCCAGGGTGATAATTTGGTGACTTTACTACCGGATCACCACCCTGTGTCTTGGTCGTTGTGGTTCACTTTCCTTTCCCCTCTCTCAAACCGGATTCTCCGACCACGGAATCGGCGAGCACTGTGAGCTTGGCAGCAATCAACGAGGTTCACTTCGCTGTACTATGATGATGATGAGATCCGACAATGATTCGCATAGACATGAAGTGTGTTTGATTGAGATGTACTATAATAGAATGCCAAAGTATTGGTGTGTTACTTCGCTGTTCCTGTTTCCAAACAGAGAAAGAGAGAAACCGCGCACAAATTCACGGATATCGTGGAGACAAAATGTGACTGAACGAAATAAGGATAAATAGTTTGTGTTGGAGTTGCTTCCGATCTCGAGAGCGGTAAACAGTACATGGCCATCGTCGTCGTCGCCGCCGCAAAATAATGCATTGTTTCTCTGCGTTCTTGCAGCTTCGCTGAACCTGGTCGTTGGAGATCCGGTTCCATCAGTTCACTCTTGTGAAGACCTCCAGCTGTCTTTCATCTTGAACTATTCATGTGGTTCGTCACTCCATGACCCAGAGTCTAGGATGCCTAGAATGAATGAGTAATGTGTCCTCGTGACTGTGGAGTTTATCCTGTCTGCTGTTCAAGGCAAGGGCTCACAATATATTTTTAAAAAATCATTAAAATCCACTAAACGGAACTATGGAGGAATCGCGATTGTTCTGTCTCCCCCCACCCCCCTCTAACTGTACTCTTGACTTTATCGTCTCCCGCTCATTTCTCATCAACTGAAGTTTGTTACTATCCACTCTCCCGTTGAATCGGTGTCTCTTCAACGCAGACTTTCCACTTTTTGGGAAGTAGAATCGTATCGCGTCATAGTCGTATTGCAAGACAATGTGATTTAGAGCGACGCA